AGTGCCAACCAGAACCAGTCCTGGAGGAGACCAGCCGGTGGCAATCCACGACCACCTCTCCCCGTTGCTCACTGTGTAGAGGAAGAGGAGGGCTAGGGCATCCTGCATGAGGCAGACCCTGTTCAAGCTGCCCACCGGGATAACAGACAGCATCATCGGCAATGTGTAAAGGTCAATGGGAAGGAGGTCAGTGGTCTACGGGATACCGGTGCAACCATGACTTTGCTTCAGTAGCACCTGGTATCCGAAGCCCAACATACCGGGGACACGGTCGCAGTGCGAGTACCCGGGGGTGCCATGTTTCGTCTACCCGTTGCCCGGGTACATTTGGATTGGGGAGTGGGCGCTAGACATGTGAATGTGGGGGTCATGAAGGACTTACCAGCAGATGTCTTCCTTGGCAATGACTTGGCGCCCCTTGTTTCAGCCTTCGCTCCCATGGGTCCCGCTGAAGTGGACACTGTCACAACCCGTGCCCAGACCTGTGTTGCCGAGACCGGCCCACCTGCTGCTGAGACCCAGGTAAGGCTGGGATACCCCAGAGATGTACGGGAAGGAAACTAGGGAAGACCCGACATTAGCGAAGTACAGGGCCGATTCTGGGGTAGAAGGGGTAGATGGGGAGCATTACGAGTGGGTGGGGGATAGGCTGTACAGGATCCCAAAACCGTCCCAGAAACCGAGTACCCCTCCGCAGAATCAACAGCTAGTGGTACCTGCAAAATACAGGCAGGAGATTCTGCGGATTGGGCATGATGTGCCATTAGCGGGCCATCTAGGCTCCCTCCGCACAGCTCATAGAATCACACAAAACTTTTTCTGGCCTAATTTTAACCGAGATGTGCGGGTTTATTGTAGCACGTGTGACACCTGTCAACGGGTAGGTAAACGGGGGGATCAACACAGTAAAGGAGGAGACTATATTTAAAAGAAGAAAAACTACCACAACAAGAGGACATAGTCTTAAATAAGAGGGACAAAGGTTTAAAAATAATATCAGGAAGTATTACTTTACTGAGAGGGTAGTGGATGCATGGAATAGCCTTCCAGCTGAAGTGGTAGAGGTTAACACAGTAAAGGAGTTTAAGCATGCATGGGATAGGCATAAGGCTATCCTAACTATAAGATAAGGCTAGGGACTAATGAAAGTTTTTAGAAAATTGGGCAGACTAGATGGGCCGAATGGTTCTTATCTGCCGCCACATTCTATGTTTCTATGTTTCTATGGATCACCCAAAGGCTAGGCTTCAGTCGATGCCTATCATTGGAGAACCCTTTTCCCACATAGCCGTTGATATTGTGGGTCCACTGGCCAGGGCTAGTCCATCAGGTAAGAAATATATTCTTACCGTGGTGGACTATGCCACACATTATCCAGAGGCAGTAGCGCTGTCTAATATAGAGGCAGACATGGTTGCTGATGCCCTGGTTAAAATTTTCACTAGGGTCAGGTTCCCTCAGGAGATCCTCTCCGATCAGGGAACTCAGTTCACCGCTGTGCTTACCCAGCAGCTGTGGAAGGTGTGCGGCATTAAACCGCTGCTTAGCTCACCTTATCACCCACAGACTAACGGTCTCTGCGAGTGATTTAATGGTACCCTCAAACAGATGTTGAGGACCTTTACTGACACTTGCAGAGACTGGGAGCGATTCCTGCCTCATCTGCTATTTGCATACAGAGAGGTGCTCCAGGAATCTACTGGGTTCTCCCCCTTTGAGTTACTCTATGGGAGAAGGGTCCGCGGACCCCTAGATCTCATTAGAGGGCACTGGGAGGGGGAGACAGAGCAAGAAGGGAGTACCATATGTCCTGGAACTCCGGGACCGCATGGAGAAACTATCCCTGATGGTAAGGGAGAACCTCCAGGCGGCCCAGGGGAGACAGAAGAGGTGGTACGATCGGGGTGCCCGACAGCGGGTCTTCCAGGTATGGCAGAAGGTTCTGGTGCTCAAGCCTGTGAAGACGAACAAGATGCAAGCATCTTGGCAGGGCCCGTATAAAGTATTAGCCCAGGTATGTGATACTACCTATCTTATAGCCAGCTGTGCAGATGAAAGGATTCAGCGATCCTTTCATGTGAACATGCTGAAGGAGTATCAGGAGAGACCAGAGGATGTTGCGGCAGTATGTGCCCCAGCTACTGACGACCCCGAGAATTTACCCTTACCCGACTTATTAGAGAAGGATCCCCAGACTGACCTTACTAGTCTTGTACATCTAGGGGACCGGTTAAACACTGCAGAGAAGGTACAGGCAAGACAGCTTCTGTGGGAGAAGCAGGCAACGTTCTCCCAAGAACCCGGGTACACTACCCTAGCTGTGCAAAAGGTCGAGACACCCGGACAGAACCCCCTACGACAACCCCCATACCGTATCCCTGAAGCAGTCTGAGAAGGAATGCGGAAGGAGATACAGGAGATGACCAGGCTGGGGGTTATCGAGCACTCAGACAGCCCTTGGGCCTCCCCTGTAGTCCTGGTGCCTAAGAAGGATGGGACCACCCAGTTCTGTGTGGACTACAGGCGACTCAACGAGCGGACCACCACTGACGACTACCCGATGCCCCGGGTAGACGAGTTATTAGACCGCATTGCCAGGGGACGCTATCTGACCACCACTGACCTGTGTAAAGGTTATTGGCAGATTTCCCTGGCTGAGGATGCTATCCATAAGTCGGCATTCTATCCATTTGGTCTGTACCAGTTTAAGGTCATGCCATTTGGGATGAAGAATGCTCCGGCTACCTTCCAGCGTATGGTGGATAGGCTCCTCGATGGCTTCCAGGAATTTGCATGTGCATACCTGGATGACATTGCGGTCTACAGTGAGTCCTGGGAAGAACACCTAGTACACGTGGGGGTGGTGCTGGACAAGATTTGGGCCGCAAGCCTGACCTTGAAACCAGACAAGTGCCATTTAGGCATGGTAGAAGTGCAGTACTTGGGTCACAGGGTAGGATGTGGGAGCCAGCGACCAGAGCCAGCCAAGGTAGAAGCTGTAGCTAACTGGCCCACACCTGAGGACGGCAGGGTATTACCGACGTTTTGTTCCCGACTACAGTACGGTTGCTAAGCCCTTGACTGACCTGACTAAGAAAAATTTACCTGTGGTCTCCAGCTTGAGAAGCCGCGTTTCAGGCATTGAAGCAAGCTCTTGTGAATGCCCCTGTCCTGGCTGCCCCAGTCCCTAACAAACGTTTTCTTGTTCATACAGATGCTTCCATGTATGGACTGGGGGCTGTGCTGAGCCAGGTCGGGGAAGATGGAGGAGAGCACCCTGTCGCATACTTAAGCAGAAAGTTACTACCTCGGGAAGTGAGTTATGCGGCAGTGGAGAAGGAGTGTTTAGCCCTGGTCTGGGCACTGAAGTAGTTGAGCCCTTATTTGTACGGGCAGGAGTTTTCCCTTATAACGGACCACAATCCCCTTGTCTGGCTTAACCGGGTCTCAGGAGACAATGGCAGACTGCTGAGGTGGAGTTTGGCACTGCAGCCTTACAACTTCACCATCAGCTACCGACCCGGTAAGCAGAATGGGATTGCGGATGGGTTATCCCGGCAAACAGACGTCCCTACTTCTTCCTAGTCCGGTCATCCCCAAGTTGACCCGCCAAAGAGTCAAGCCGGGTCTGCCGGAGTGTTCCACAAGGGGGAAGCCGTGTGACAGACCCATCCGTATGAACTAGAATTGCTGTGTTCGTCTGTTTTGCCGTTTGTATGAATTTCCCCATTCGTATGCCTTGTTTAAGGGAATGTATTTTTTTGTCGAACGGAACTACCGAACGGACGGCCACCCAGAAGAGAAGTGTGCTGCTGGTTAACCTATTGATCCCAATTAGAACGTTGCGGTTAACCACAGACACTTCTCAATTAAAACCGAATACAGGGTGGTCGTCGTTCGTATGTCGACCACGAGGCAGCGGCCATTTTAACTATGCGAAAGACCAGCGGTGTTCGACGGTTATTTTATGGAACTAAAAACGGACACTTTTTCAACCGAACACCGCTGAAGCCGTCGACCTCCCCTTCTCAATCGACAAAAGTATGCGAATACCGGCCGTTCGAGAGGTTTAAAGGCACAAATGGACTTACCCCAGATAGCCTTCCCATGGAATCAATCGCATACCGAAGAACTGTAATAGACTTTGACTCCATGGCGATTGAACTATGCGTATGGGATCTGGGCACTATTCGCCAATAATATGCACTCAGATCCAGGCTATCTGGGAATGTGTTATACGAATGTAATACGTTCGGCAGTTATAAAGTTATGGATTTTAATGTGTTTTGTAACTTGTATTTAAAATGGCGATTTGCCTCTGCTCTGGGAGATAATTGAGTTACTTCTCAATTATCTCCCGAGCAGAGGGGAGGAAACTGTGATGCATGCTGGGAATATTGTGGGGTTGTATGTCGAAAATGTCCCCATGTCCTTCTGTTATTCCAGTCTCCCATTTGGTCCCCTAGGGGAGTGTCCACCAAGTGGGAGACCTGCATAAATACGGGCAGGTAGCCCACAGTAAACTCAGTTCGTGTTTTACCCTCAAAGCGGAGCTTGGTCTCGTTATTGGGGGGATTTTATTACCAGCGACTAGAGACTGCTTATTGGAAGATATTGCCGTTCGGCTAATATTGGCAATTCGTGTATTTGGAGCTCGAGAAGGGAAGGAGCCGTACAGGTACCGTTCGGGAGTTTGGAATGTTCCCTGGCTGGCGGTTCGCATGGCTATACTGCCTACGCTACCAGACCACATTATTGCGAACGGGGAGCATTCACTAAACGGCGGTTTGTACATTTACTGAAGGTACCGTAACACCCTGTGTTGCTATTACCCCTTAATTTGTTCCCCTTTCCCCTCTTTTTGTCCCCCCCCTTCCCATTCCCCTTCCCTCCTTCCCCTTCCCATTCCCTCCTTCCCCTTCCCCTTTCCTCTTCCTCTTCCCCTATTTTCCTGTGTGCCTGCTGACCTTGTTACAGGAGGACTGAGGGAGGGGTGGAGCTAACTGCCATGCTCCCTTGCGGTTCCCATAATTCCCAGCATGGACACATCATGGAGTAGTGATTTCTTTATGATATGTCCATGCTGGGAATTATGGGAACCGCGAGGGAGCATGGCAGTTAGCTCCACCACTCCCTCAGTCCTCCTGTGCTGACAGCTATGCTGTCTTCAGTATCAGTGAGTGTGCTGCTGGATCGATTAGGCGGCCGCCCGGCACACTCACTGATACTGAGAGCAGCATAGCTCTCAGCACAGGAGATGGGGCCGCCGGCCGCAAGGTGAGTAATCACCTCAAAGTGTGCCGCCGACCGGCCACCCAGCGGCACTGACATGCGGCCGGTTGCCGCAATATTATTAAAATTGCTCCCTCTCTACATGCAGCCCCCCAGGTGCCGCGGCCCACCAGGAAATTTCCGGTATCCCGGTGGGCCAGTACAGCCCTGCCGCCCACTCCAGTTGTAGACTACTGGTGGAGGCAAGAACACTTCACACAATTTCCCCAGAAATTGTAGCTTTTCTAGTTAAGTGTAGCACACATATATATTATTCTTATTCTAGCCAAATTTACCACCCTAACTCCTCCCACAGTTTTTACACTACATAGTCAGTAATATACGTAATTGTGCGGATTGTTCCCGATTGGATTGCTATTACTTTGTGGAACGTTTTGACAATCATTTTCAAGCCCACCTACACAAATCTTATTTCAAAATGTTCAGCTATCCCTGCTGCCTCTAAAAATGGCTGAACACCCATGGAGGGCTCTGCCGGATCTTCTCTCTCTAGTAAATCAGGTAGCGGAAGGTTCTCCTGATCTTCAGAGGCTGAGGCGCATATAGCTGCCATGTCCTCTCTCCTCTCATGGTAGGTTTTGAGCATATTCATGTGGAGCATGCGTCTCTTCCCTGTGTGATTGAACAATATCTCCTGGGTTGCTGGCTCTGCTTGGTAGTGGTGTGCGGCTGCTCGTGGTGCTGGGTTCGGTCGTACTTGGCTCCATGCTTGACGGCTCCGGTTCTGGGTACACTCTCTCGCCATGTGGCCCCATTGCTTGCAGTTATTCAGCCATTGTATCGAGAGGGTGTAGTGTGTCCCCCAGTGGCTGTCCGGAATGGGGTTACTGGGGACACGGTAGGGGTAGCTGTTGGAGGTTGGGTGGCAGGTCGAGGATACCCTCGATTGAGGTTACTGGTGCCTCTGGTGTCAGACCATTGTAAAATTGCTCCAGCAATAGCAATTGACGTAACTCATCCATGGTGGTAGCTTGGCTAGCTTGTATCCACCCCTGGAAGGCTTGATCCAGTTTGTGTGCCCACTCTGCGTGGGAGTCTTTCTCCGGTTTGCGCAACACTCTAAACTTGCGCCGGTATGCCTCCAGGGTAATGGCATATCTCTCTAGTATCGCCTGTTTTACCCTGGCATAATCTTTGCTGTCCTCTCTGGGTACGGCCCGATATGCTTCTGCTGCCCGACCTGACAGTTTGCCTGCCAGTAAAGATACCCACACTGCCTGCTCCAGATCATGCAGGTCACATAGCCGCTCAAAGTCTTGTAGATACCCATCAATCTCATCCTTATCTTCGCAAAATACTTTAAAAGCATGATGATTGAAGCAGCCGTAGATTCTGCTCTGGAGGGTGCGTCTTGCGGTCTGTGTGCCATCACATACTCCTGCACATCCGCCATCAGTACCGTCAGTATTTCCAGTGGTACTGGCTGGGGTTGGAATTCCATCCTGGTTCTCATTTCTTTTTGGAACGGGGTCTCTTCCATGGCTGGTGGAGTGCAACGCTGTGAGCTCTGTCTCCCTCCATCAGTTCGGCAATAAGCACAGCTTTTGGCTTATTGCTGGCTGTCTTACCCCTGGCTTCTAATAGTTCCTTCAACGTCTGCCGTTTCAAAGCAGTGTTATCTGTCTCCATTCACCTCTGCGTTCGGTTCTTTGCTGTATACGAATTGTCATTCACCTTCCTGTTAGGTAGTTTCAATTACCCGAACACCGCTTTTCGGCTGTAAGGTTGGATCCCGTCGCTTGCCACCAATTGTAGCGGAGCTGCAAGCTTAAAACCCAATATCTCCGCTGGTACCGATAATGATCCAAGTGAAGTGCTGGAGAGGAAGGCAATATCCCAAATCCCCCAGTAACCGGACAAACACAGTTCTGGAAGTCAACTGAGGATTTTATACACAGCTCCAGTATTTATGTGATTTCCACATACAAGGGGTTTCCTTAGTCACTTTACAGGGGTTGTAAAGTAGAGGACTACATGGGGAACTGAATATACAGGACATTTCTCCAACCATGCACTGCTGTACGAGAGGGATACTCCCACTAGAATATCCTGTTAAGTGGATTATCCCTCCGTACAGCAGAACTGACTTTTTACACAAAAATGCATAACTTTAACATTATACATAGGATTATACCGAATGACTGTTCGGTAGATAGCTGGGGTCTGAGCGCACACTTTGTGAAGGTACCGCTCAGATCCCAGCATAAATAACCGAACGCTGAACATTCCTATAAAAAGTACCGAATATATATGGGGAATAAAATACCGAAGGACCGGTGCTCCCGAACGGCCTGGAAGTCCAGCGGTGTTCGCGCCGTCGAGTAGCCGATTTTGGTTCCAGGCACTCAATGACAAAACACAGCTGGGCTAACAAAGGATCCAAGAAGGCCGCAGCTTTCGGCAGTTAGCATATGAACAATACCAGAATACATACATACACAGAATGAAAGCAGCTTTTGTAAGACAACCTTCAGATTTTGAACAGTGCGACCTAAAGTGGCTAGGTTTGCCACATTTCCCACATAGGAACCCCCACAGTCTATACATCCGTGGATAGCCTGGATCTGAGCGCCCCATATATCCGAAAAGTGATCAGATTCCACAAACAGAGCCGAAACGCCACCGTGTGGAAATTCTGACTGGCCGCACACATGCCCAAAACAGTTCCAGGGCGTTTTGTGCTTTTTGGCTGGTCAAATTTGGGAATTCCATTCGAACGAAATACTGAACGCACAGTCTGGCTGATTGGTAGCATTTGTTTGTATGATCCATACGAACAAATGTACAGAGCGGCGATCTCCTGACATGTGTGGGGAAGAAGCAGGTGTTTGTCAAAGTTCAGCGATGTTCGGGAACTGCATTCTTGCGAATAAGATGGCCGCCAACACAGTTCCCCCTCGTTCGTGCATTCGAACGGTGGCCACCCTGCCGCACCATTAGAACCCACACCGATTGAAGTGTCAGGAGAGGTTAACAATAATCAATAAGCTCAGAGGTGGTCCACAGTTCGATTGTCGGATCAGTTCCCGAACAGTCCCAGGGAATTCAATAAACCAATGTCTTTTAATAGCCTTTTAGCATAGTCCTGAGGCAGGAGGATGGCTAGCAGAAGCATGTGGCGAGGTTCTGTTCGCTACAGAAATAAATAATGATAATGGTATTAAGTGCCTATATGAAATAGGCAGTTGACACATATATACAAAAAAGGCATGATTCCTATCTGAAATATTTCTTAAAAATCATAGAAAGAAAACACAAGTTAGCTTAACTAACTGTTTGCAAAACTTGGGCTACACAGTTCTAGAGTGGATTCCACCATGTCGGAGCAGGTTATGCTATGTTCTCAAAGCATTCTAATCCTCTGAATATACAGTTAAATAATTTTGTTTTACAGAATTATATTATGAACGCTGTTCAGTAACATATTGTAGCTTTAAACATGCACAGGAGTCTCCCGTCTGTAATAAGTGACTTAATGTTACAGTTACCCCTTGCAAGGATTTTTTGCTATGGATCATTTTGTTTTCCACGTCAGAATATGTGATTGATCTTGTTTTCATCATTTACTCACCAGATTTTTTGAAACATGCTCATCTTTCATCCACGAATTGAGACTGTTTCTTGCCAAGTTGATTTCACTTCTTATCAGACTCAACTCAGAAATTTCTGCTTCAAACTTTGGCTGAAAAACAATTAATAAGAAGAAACTGTTTGGTCATGATGATGCGAGAAATGTTACTTAAAGGGACATTATAGGCACCAATGTATCTCAATGACATATCTTCTTTTATTTACTTGACATATCTCTATGAAGTGTTTGGGTGCAATATCCCTGCAGTTTTAGGCCTGAAGCTGCAAACATTCCTATTCTGCAGGGTTTAAGTGCCTGTACTGGCTGTAGTTAAACTCAGCTATTTCAATCTGATGGTCTCTGTGAAGAAATCCCTATCTATGCACCCTAGTTCTCCCTTATTCATTCGGTAGATCTAACTACCGCACAAAGACAACCCCCCTGGCTCATTAAGCTTCAAAGCATTCATCAATTGACCCCTCTATCTGTGCGGCCAGCGTTCGTACTACCGAACGCCACGTGGCTGAGAAAACCGCAGCCATCTTTTTTTTTTCAATTTGACAATTTTTATTTTCATAAAGGTAATGGGGTACAGAAAGAAAAGGGGGGAGCAGTTAGGGGGTGTCAGATTATACAACATTTGTTTCCACTTTAAGCATGTTTGATAAAGGAGCCTTAGCAGGTGTCAATTTCTGCATTACAGTCGGCATGAATTATACAGGGGGGACACGGTTGCACCTGATATGCGTATGGTCGGTGTTTAGTAGTACGCTGGAGTCGTGGGGGTAGTTTCTCTGTGTGTGACTCGTTGCGTCTGGGTAGCGACACAACCTCATGAGTCATGAGCCGATCCATGGCGGGTACACCGGTGTAGTGGAGTTCGTTGCAGTGTGGAGTTGGGGGTGCAACTGGGGGGGGGAGAAACAGGGGGAGGGTGGGGGGGGTATGCTTTGGAGGTATGCAGCAGTGGCGTGCGAGCGTGATACATGGTATACATATGCACAGCTGTAGGTGTCATCATGTGATGCAATACGTGGTGCGACGTGACGATAGGTCTACCCTGTGGTTAGGTGTGTTGTTCTGAGTATACTGGCCCCTGTGGTAACTGGAGAAGGGGTTGGGTCTATTCAAGTAGTAGAACTTTGTGGACTAGCAACTAGGATTTGCGCTTCGTCGGTGGTACCTACACCATCTTTGATCTCTGTAGGGCGTTAGGTAGTTATGTAGTGTTAACCCCGTCCCAATAGCTTGCCCA